TTATCCGGATTCCCATAAGGTTTAGGGTTTCAAGTCGTAGGCTAGTGCTGATCCACTCGAGTTTTTTTTATCACTCTTCACAGGTGTGCTTTGTTCCCACTAGTCATTTTGTGCTCATTAGAGTACTTTCTTAGTGTTGGTTGTGTCATGTTTCTATCCAGTGTGATGTCAGTCATTCCTAAAAAAGGTTCCCGTGAGTTCCCATATACCCCGTGAATCAATTGAGTCGCTCAAAAAAGGTAAATAAATTCTAAGGCTACTGACTGAGGAATGCACGGCAAGGAACAGAGCAAAGAAAGATAGTCGGGATGAGAAGCTTAACGATACCAGTGCAATGTCGTGCTGGCACTTAGGCTGAAAGAAGTTCTATGACGACAGTTCCGGCTTACGTTGCAGACCTGCAGTCAGAGCAGCCAGCCAGACAGTTGATCGAGATGCCCATCTCAACGGCTCAGTTGTTCTATACTAGAAACCAAGAAATCTTTTTGGCCTTTATTTTCACCAACACAAGGTATCTAATGCCCTGATGCACAAATTAATTAAAACAGCACGGATAACAGTATTTCTCGTTATAATTTCCTGGCCTTCTGTGCTAACGAGGCTTCTCGGTTAAATACCCAGTCAACTCGTCATCTGGTGACTCGTCGATTTGGAGTGAAGTGGCAACCAAAGGTATCCGTTTCCGAGCCTTCAACAGAGGTTCAATCAAAATGAGCACTAACTATTAATCATGTGCAAGTTAAACGATCGTCCCAGCTGCCTGGTTTTGTTCACTGGGAACTGCGCACTGATGGCGACACCTCAAAACGCGGATGTGTCGATCTTGAAGTAACTATGTATGGCTTGAAACACATCTCGTTAGTGCGGGATCGATGGAAATTGACCTATGCATTGAAGACAGTAACTCGGACACGGAAGTGCCATTAGTTGCGCAATTGGACTTTGTTTGTCAGTATGTCCAATTATTGATGTAGTTCCTATTGGTCCCTCTTCAGACAGATGCAGTAGCCAGCACCACTAACTACTTGTACTGGCGTCCTTGTCTCACTTTCGGGTGATCTTTACCTGCGTCATACGCAGTTAATTGCCAAAAATGGCCTGAAAAAGGGAGCTGAAGACTGTTACCAGATGCTGAGCTGTCATGCCTTTCCATGGTGGGGTCCACACTGTCCTCCAATGTGTTTGGCTGGAGACTTAGCAAAACATGGCCGCTAACCGATACCATCAACGCTCGTGCCGTCTCTGAGTGTTTTAGAGTGCGCACACCTTTATTCCGTTTCTCTCTTTGTTCCTCTTCCCATTATAAAGCGCTATCGAAATTGACATGATGCTAGGCGAGCACCGGTGCCTCGCTGATGTTGCTATCCATGTTGATACAGAGTTGAGCGAAAAGGGCCTTACGGTATAGACGCCCTGTCAGGGAAATCTACAACTTGTCGTCGGCCCGTCTGTTGTGCACGATGTCTCCCAACTACCTCTGGTAATGATCCATTGTTTCCATCGGGCACAAAAAACGCCCCGAGAGCACGGATGTGTTAGGTTGGATTATGCATCGGGATCCAATATCTAAGTGAAGTTGACTGGTTTTTATGCTAAACGGAAGTTCTGGCATCAAGAGCGCCGTTCGGAATGTCACTCCGGTAATAGCTGATGCACTATTCGCATTCTGGAGAAACCCTTTTTAGAGGAGGGTTTATGATATATTCCGTCGAGTGGAGCGTTCCCTCTTGAACATGTGGTCATTGAAGACTGTGACGCGCCTAGTGAGCTGTGCTTTTTATCCACCTTTTTCAAACACCTATCGTGAGGGTGATATACCTTCTTTCACTTCGTCTTAACTATTTGCTTCAGGTGCTCAGTATTCTTGCATATTCACGATTGATACGGGGAATATATTTGATGGTCCTTAGCTCCTCTGACCTAGATTCTCTGGTATTACTGTTTCTTCGTCCAGCTAAAAATCAAACCTCAGATAGGTAAACAGATGTGCTACGCTTCGCAGAGTGACGACCTTACACTTCGTGAGTGCAGAACGCATGCCAAAGAAAAGGATGACTTTGGTCAGTTCATTCAAAAAATACCTGCGCCTTTTTCTCTTCGAGGGCGAGAACGATGTCTGCATATTTTAGCTCAAGTGGACGCCAGGGTTTTGAGGATCTGGCTTTCGCCTCATTTCCTCATCGGTCACCAAGTCAAATATGAATGTGGTGGGTATCCTTTTCGGACACCATTTTGTTTACGGGAGCTTTTAGAGTGATCTCCGTGTAGTCTTGCACCCCGGAGGTCTAAGAACACAGAATTTATCATGTTTACAAACATCCGCTGAGTCAAGTGCGCTTTTTAGACCCAGGAATACCAAAAATGTGGACCATTTATACTTATGGCGTTGTTGTCCCACCTGGCGGAGTGTGAAGATTGGGTCACCATGACCCTTACCAGACTGCTTGCTGCTCTCGCATCAGTGCTTCACAGTCCATCATAAGGCGACGGAAGGCAAGATTCACCAGGAATCTCGTTTGGACTGGAGTCAAGCCGATCCTTCTAATTACCGCACTCACTAATAAGCATCATTGCCTGTTTTACCAAGCTGCCTTGGACGGTCTCTTTCTTGAAAATAGATCAGCCAGACGCTGACCGGAGACTTTACCTTCCCACATTTTTAGAAATGCTGGTGGGGGGGGGTCATTTGGACGAAGAGCTCGGTAGCACTTGAAAGAACACATGCAGCCGCAAGCCTCCGAGGCCGTACAGCCTTCCAGGTCCATCTTCCAAAGCCCTACTGTAGTTCTGGCAACAGGTGATCACAAGAGCTGTTATTCGAAAATCAGCGGTCAGAGCGTCTTCTACTGAAAATTGCCCTGCCAACCTGATCCTCGATGGTTTCGCCCACAGGTGGATCATGGGAACTACTCGCACTTATCCATCGAGACAAAATTCGGTTCTCCAGACATTCTTCGCCTCTTCCATTTCACTAGCCTTCCTTTCCACCAGGATTCACGGTCGACGCGCAGCCCAGTTTGAGTTTGCATCTGACAATTTTTCGGGCTGGTTCGTGTTTCGGACCGGTGGGGACGTTTCTCAGATTCGAGCAGCCCCACTGTTACGTCTGGCATCCACTTTTTAGAGTGACGTATTAGTGCATTGACACAGAAAAATCGTTCAGCTGTAGCATCCTTTTGGTGCCTAGCTGCCATATATATCGAAGGAAGCACGAGGGCTAGGATACTGCCAGGTTGCCCTAGCCTAGACAGGGGAAGTCGAGATGCAGAGATCGGGTTCGAACCGCGCACCTTCCGGTCAGTAAATTTGCGCTCTAACCACTTGAGCCATCTCGCCTCATATTGCAGCACTGTACAGGGATGTGGTGACTTCATTCAAGTGCGATTTGGCATCCATTGGTGGAGCAGTTGGAAGTTAGTCCAGACGACGGTTCTCATAAATTCATTTAACTCCGGAATCTGTCAGATTTTCAGGTGCTCAGGGCATTGTCTTCTCTTTACGCGGTCCTAGAAACCGAAGAGCGAAGTGACTCCGGACTAGAACATCGTCAGAATCTACATAAGTTCCAAGACGAGCGGCAGTCAATCGCTGATCCGCGCCATCAATAACTGATAACAATGCGATCAATTTGGATCCACGGCTGCTGTACCGTTGAGGGACACCATGTGGCCAGACGACTTCGGTTGTTTCAGTACTGCATAAAAACCGTCTGCGACCAGCACATAGCAGTGTCCGTACGTACCGAACCCAATCCAAGTCGATCATCCAATCGAATCTCAGGTACGCCAAGTACGTTCAAAATTCCAGTAATCACAGTGATATCTGAGCTTCTAGCCCCCCCCCCCCCCGTATGAATACAACCAAGAAGTTGTCTTTATGGAGAGAGATACAGTTGGTTGGAGCGTAAGTAGATGCGACAAACAGACAAGGATCAACTTCCCATTTGTGGGGTTCCTTCACGGACGTTGCCAGGCGAAACGCACAGGGGCGCTCGCATAAAGTGTCACATCATCCGAACTACAACCAACAGGCGCACAGATAGATACGACAAACAGAGCGTGCTTACTCGCCCGCAGTTCATTAGTCCGAAACGACGACGTAAGTCCTACTGTAAGTATACGTCCATTAAGTGGTATCTACTCAAGCACGGCTGCCTCTACTCTTTACTCAAAGGAGTATCAACGCCGGCGCGTCTCTTAAGGGCCTAGTTGGTGCATATCGGCTCCACATGTTTCTGGTGTTCTAGCTAAACCAGCGTGCTGGCCGATACGCGTCAGCGTGCGGAAGTTGAGATGTGCAGGCCCAAAATGAATGCGGGACCCGGCACATATGGGTCGGGGTTTACTGTGGGAAGTGTGCGCACCCAGTTTGTGACTGTCAAAATAAGAAACGAGGAATCGTTCCTAGGTCAAAAGTGGGATACTTTCGAAGATGACAAAACCCTTGAAACCACTCGTTGCTGAGTGAGAAGTTTCGTACAGCGAACATAAGAGCGCGTTTGAGAGCATCGTCTGACAAAGCCGAAGCTAACAGTAGTAATTTGAGTCGCAAACCTCACACCATTGTCATTGCCACAATATCATCCTTGGACACCTGCGGCTTTTTGCGAGGAGCTGGCTGACCAGACGGAAGTTCGTCAGGCCCTGGTAGTGCGGCCGTTGCCTCTGTACCATGAGTGGCTTATGCACAACGAATCCCTCAAGGCCATTTCCTCTATCCATGGCTTGGATGCGTGCCCGACCCATAGGGTTGTGTCCAGTCCTTTTCCGGGTGCCGAAAAAACAATATACCTGACGGGGGCCGTAAATCTCCATCTGTTTATAGGTGGAAATATCCGGTGGGTACTCTCGCAGTTTACAAAGTAAATGTAGTCCGGTTCGCTCGGAATGCTCAAGAAGCAGCTTTTGGCGATATTGTCGAACGCCTTGAAAGTAAATACTCACCTTAGTGACTGTCACAATTCTCGTCAATTTCATTATCTTTGAACATTTTTGCTTTAGATATACGCCGACTTCTTGCGGCCCAAATTCTTACGGCAAAGGGAAATACGGATTTATCGACCGGCGAGCGTTGCTCAATCGGCAGACGGAGGCCCTGAACGAAATAGTTTCTGATGACAATCGATAGCATCGTACTGGAATAGCTATCTGTGGTACTTCTTCACACATCTGACTTTGTAAATATCGTTTTATTTTTGTGTCTTAATGACTGAGTTCCAACCGCCTGCGTAAATAAGAGTGGCGTTCGATTCAGTATATACATATATTTACACAATTCGTTTTACGCGTTTAACAGGTCAATTAGGGTGGGTACTCGATCTCAATTTAAAAAAGACCTACGTCAGTTTTCGTAGATTCAGCTTTTCCTTCACATTCCTTCGACAATGGGTCGCCAGGACAAAGAAAACGGCGGCAGATACACGAGCCTTGAGTTCCGCCATCTCAACGTCGTGATGAGAAGGAACTTCACCCCATCGATGAATCTGAATGTAACGTATAATTCATCGGTAAGCTGGTGAGACCGACCACTTTATAGTCATAAAATCTTCATGACCCATGAATGGGCAAGCAACGGAGCTATGCAAAGACATGCGGTTGTTGGATTATAGCTTGTACAAAGTTCCGCTGCCTCGCAATAGAGGCAACGGTGATAAAAACCATGCAATGGGAAACTAACAAAAATTATCATTAAAAGGCACGCCTGTAATCAATTGTGTCATCTGGTTAAGTTATCCTAGGCGGATCCAAGCCGTAGCTCAGTTACCATTGCCTCAGGATTATTTGACTGCTCATGAGGGCACACAGCATCACTGGTAGTTTTTGGAAGACAAGCTTAATCCTGCGCTCAATTCCACTGGGTATTTCGATCACGAGCCATGTTGCACGCCCGAATGAGCTATGGAGACCGCACGGTATTGAGGCCCCCTGTTGTTCAAGACGGAACTTCGTCTTGTGAACACAATACAGAGTCCTGACAACAAAAATTTAGATGATTACATGATCAGAATCAGGTCGGCATAGACGGGTCTGATTACTAATTCACTGAGGTAGTCAGTTAAGGGAGTAGCAAAATGGTTGATATACTTGTGTCCCAAGGATTCCGTATTACGAGAAGAATCTAGAGTTATCCCCATTGCTAAGCAAACCTTAGGTTACAAAGGGCTGCGAATAGGGTTCAGGGGTCTTATATTTGGGCGATAAGTTGTTGCGTTTTCCTAGGAAATCAGCCAGCG